CAATAATATTTTAAATGATTTATAAAATAATTTTATTTTGGAAAACAGTTAAAAAAAATTATTAAATTAATACTGATTTGTTTTTTCGTCAATGTCATCATTAATGCATAATTTTTTCAAAAAACGTTTTGTTAAATTTTTCATTAATAAAATTACCTTTTCATTTAACTTGACGTTTGCCAATTCAAAATAAATGGCAACTTAATTCGAATTGGTTTAATAATTTTGAACGAAATTTTCGTTTCACTTTCTGTAAACCGGCTCCTAAAAGAATTTATCTTGAAACTACGTCAAATTGCAATGCGATAATTTACGACCTTGCCTTCTTGTGGTTAGAAGGGTCAGCATCCCAGCAGGTGCTGGTTTACTGAGGCGTCATTTTCACTTTGTTCGACTGTACCACCTGGAAGAGTATGGTACTTACCATCATGGATGTGGTTCTAGCACTAAAATTAACAACGTTGGGTAGAAACTTGTCTTTGGAGAGGCCGACTAGATGATCTAGTACTACTGCAGTTTTACCAGTACCAGTGGGACCAACAAAAAGTACCGGAATCTTGTTGGCTTGGTACAACTTGAGGAAAAATCGTTGACAACATGACTGATTTGTTTGTATTATCAATTCGGAGGGTTTGGCGTTTGCTGGAATTTGCTGTACTTTATCCACAGTATCCAACCAACTTATCCAAGTCCCATTGTTGCGTTTATCATAAATCCATTCAAAAACAACAGCTCTTTCGGGGAAAATCTGTGCTTTACTCAATTTGTACGACTTGGGTTTTGGATAATGTTTCGAATCGCCGTTCAAAACTTTTCGTAGGAAAACATCGAAGCTTTGTTGACCCTCGAGGGTCAAAGTCGACCCCAAACCCCACACTAGAGAGAAGAGAAAAACACACTGGAGCCACACAGTACTCACTTGTTGTTCCCCAGCCAACATACAAGTAAACAATCGTGTGAAACTCTAAAATTCAAATTGGTACCACTGATTGTCATTTGGGATTCACTCACGTGAAACAAATGCGTTTCAGAGGTTTCAACAAATGTCCGACATTTGTGTTTAATATGATCGAAACACGCTGGTACCAACCATTCGATCAAATCAATCAAAATCTCCAATTGTTCTGGTAGAAGCGACTTTTCCAGTGTTGCCAAATACGAATCCATCAATGGTCGCCAACCCAACAAGTACGGTTCCATGTAGATCATCCCACAGCGTGAGACAGTCGCTGGTGAGGCTTGTTCCAAATCAGCTGGTTCAAAAATCAAATTCATTTGAATCGACATTTGGATGATTTCCCCCGACATCAAACACAATTTTTTGTTATCGTCAAGTACCGTGTTCATGTTTTCGATCCAGACGGCGTCGACTGGACCATCAAAAAGTATCCATTTCCGGTCTTTGGTCGGACTATTCGCAAATTCGCGAAACGTATTCGCCAAAACGCCATCGGACCATTCGTGCGATGCTGGGTCAAATTGGCCGTACAATTGACCCATGGTAATGGCTTTAGGGTTGATAATCCGGTAAATCACCCGATTTTCGCGTAAATTAGCCCTTGGATCGGTCGCTAGCACCCCTAAACCTTCGGCAAGGCTTTGATACGCGCAAGTTTTACCGCCCATGGGACGCCCCACAATCATCAACCCATGACGTACCAAGATCATTTCGTAGATTTGCATACACTTATCAACGAACCAAGGAGTGGGTTGTAGATTTTTCTTCTTGATCTCTTGGATTAGATAATCGATGAGTTCTTGGCGTTCAAATTTCGGGATTTCCACTCCTGGGAATAAATCGGAGAAAATCCCTTCGAAAAGTGGCACGTCTTGGGCTAGAAATTTGGGTAAATTGACATCAATGATGGCACGGAGTACTAATTGCGCTTCTGATGTTTTAGGATAAGCCCGTTTTAAGGCCCCTGCTGCTAATAAGACTGATTTTACGGCCCTCATGCCATAGTCATAGTGATTTTGTGATGATAATTGTTCAGAACATAGTTTATAAGTGTGTACTATTTTTTGGGCTAAACTCCCAGCTTCGACAAACCCATAGGAATACAAGGAAATCTCCCCTATCATAGCATAATCCGGTACCATCATCGCCACGGTCCGGAACAACACTTTTAAATTATCCGGTAGTTCCTGTCGACCGGCATACCCCGGATTCATGGTTATAAAAACAGTACACGTAGGATTCAACGTGATTTCAGTCCCTTCAAAAACAAACTTTTTCAGTTTTGCGGCCACGGCCATCTGGATGCTTAAAATTTGCTGTGCAACGACTGAAAGCACCTCTAATTCGATCCGATTGAACTCATCAAAACAAGCCCAAGCACCAGCTTGTGCCAACCCTTTGAAAAACTTCCCCAATGCCTTATAATCCAACCCATCTGAACAATTAAACACCACGCATTTCTTAGCAACGGCTTTAGCTAAGTCTTTACAGGTTTCTGTTTTGCCAGTACCGGCTGGGCCTTCAGGAGCGCCTCCTAGATTTAGTTTGAGGGCCCCCATGAGTGTGCGATAGCAACGGTCGGTAAGTGGGGTTGCTACGAGACGACCTGTGTTACCAAGATACTCAAAGCCGTACAAAACTTCGGTTGTTATCATTGCGACGGTTACTATGGCATCTTGCCAGTAGTACCTCAATTGTGAGATCCAATTGAAATCGCTGATTTGGGTCACTTTGAGGTCGTGGAGTTTTTTGACGATGTCGCGGCCGTGGACGTCGATGACGATGAGGGCTTCGACGGTGACTTGGGTGCCGGGGTGGAGACGACCTTGGATCATACGGACGCTGGTCTCGATCTGCTTGGTGCAGAGGTAGATCTGGTCGTTGAGGGAACCATCGATGATGGATTGGGTGACGTCGGTGGTCCATTGAATGCAGTTGCAACATTGGACGATCTACAGGGTTAAAAAAGATTGTAAAATATTTTAGGACGTGGACCAAAATAAACAAAAAAGTCTTAATAAATATGGGTCCGCAAAGTAACGATTTGGGATTGAGAAAAAATTTAAATAAACAATTTAAAGAACAAAAAAAACGAGAAAATCTGAGGCCGTCGAAAAAACTAAAGAAAATGAAGATGATGATGAAGGAAAGAAGAATTAATTGACGGTTTCTTAAATTTTATTCTGTTTTGGACATATTATATTGTAAAGTTCTTATGCTTTTTTCTTTTTTTAATATTCCTACAATTTTTTAATGTGTATTTTTTGTATTTTATTCTCTTATTATTACAATGAAAAACAAAAAATTAGTTGCTTTTGTGTAATTTTGACACCAAAATGACCTGATTTGAATCCACTTGAAATCTCTTGTTTAGTGTTTTACGTATATTTCGACCTATGATTAGTACCATTATTATTATTATTATTATTATTATGTTAAGAAAACGAAAAATTTGTGGTTTATGTAATTTTAACACCCAGAAGAACGGATTTTCGTCCACTTGAAATGTTTATTAGTTATCAGTTTTTTAGCCTATTGTGATTATCGTGATTAATAATAAGGACTAATATTTTTGGTCTTGACCAATTTTGAGCCCACTTGAAGTGTTTTGGATTAAATAAAACTTGAAAACTTGATCCGAATCAAAAAATTGTCAGGGCATAATAAAAAAAGGAAACCGGCAACACAAAAAATAAAGAAAAAAATATTTATCTAAAAAAAAAGAAACAGTGGTTGAAACAAACCCTGAAACGATAAGTTAACAATTGGGAAAAGATATAACAACAAATTTAGAGAACAAAAAATAAAAAAAATATAAGAAAAAAACGTAAAACAAGCAAATCAGATAGAAAACTACGAATTTAGAAAAAAAAAACTGAGGATTTCTTGACAATTTCAAATTTTATTTTTTTTGTTTATACGTCTTACTGCATGTTGTAAAGCTTTTATGCTATTTTTCTAATTTTTTTTATGTTCTTACAATTTTTCAAAGTGTAGGTATTTTTTGTGTTTTATTTATTTATTACAATGGAAAACAAAAAAATAGTCGTTTTTGTGTAATTTTGACACCAAAATAACCTGATTTGAATCTACTTAAAACTTCTTGTTTAGTGTTTTACGTACATTTAGACCTATGATTAGTACCATTATTATTATTATTATGTTAAAAAAACAAAGAAAATGTGATTTATGTAATTTAATTAAGACCTACAAAAACGGATTTTCGTACACTTGAAATGTTTCCTAGTTATACGTTTTTTGACCTATTGTAATTACCGTGATTATTATTATGGATTTTGAATGAAAAAAATGTGGTCTTATTTATTTTGCCACCGACTTGACCAATTTTGAGTCCACTTGAAGTGTTTTGGATTAAATAAAAACTTGAAAATTTATTCTGAAGAAACCGAGAAGAATTATTTTAATAAAAATGACAAATAAAGAAGCGAAATTTGAGAATAACATACGGAAGTAGAATCAAAAAATTGTCAGGGCATAATAAAAAAAAGAAAACCAATCCGGCAACACAAAAAATAAAGACAAAAATTATTATTTATCTAAACAAAGAGACAGTAGTTGAAACAAAAAACTGAAACGGTAATTTAACAATTGGAAACAGGGATTTAGAGAACAAGAATAAAAACCATACAAGAAAAAAACTTAAAACAAGAAAAGCAGATAGAAAACTACGAATTTAGAAAAAAAACTGGCAATTTCTTGACAATTTCAATTTTTTTTTGTTTATACGTCTTACTTCATGTTGTAAAGCTTTTATGCTATTTTTCTAATTTTCTTAATGTTCTTACAATTTTTTATTGTGTAGGTATTTTTTGTATTTTATTCATTTAGTACAATATAAAACAAAAAAAATGTTTATTTTGTGGAATCAAAAAATTATCAAAGCATAATAGAAAAAGGAAACCAATCCGGCACAAAAAATAAAGAAAAAAAAATTGTTTATCTAAAAAAAAGAAAGAGTGGCTGAAACAAAACCTGAAACGGTAATTTAACAATTGGAAAAGGATATAACAAAAAAATAAAGAACAAAAAATATAAACAATACTAGAAAAAAAAAACGTAAAACAAGAAAATTAGATAGAAAACTACAAAAAAAAACTGACAATTTTTTGACATTTTTAAGTTTTATTTTTCTTTTGTTTATACGTTTTACTTTATGTTGTAAAGCTTTTATCCTATTTTTCTATTTTTTTTTCTAATTTTTACAAATTTTTAGTGTTTTTAGAATTCTGGTGTGATGTTTAATATGTATTTTTTGTATCATAATTTTTATTACAATGTGAAATAAGACAAAAATGAAAAAGTCTTAATAAACATGGGTCCGCAAAGCAACGGTTTTGGAGATTTTGAAAAGTATTCGTTTTTTAAAACATTTATTTGCAAGCTGTTCAAATAAAAAAGAAAAGCTTCTAGTAAATATTCCAATTTTTTTATTTTGGTCCACACTAGTACCTCCATTATTATTTTACAATCCTTTTTTAACACCCTGTATAGAGAATTTTTTGTACTATTTTTACACTTTCTGTTAACATCAAGACTTTTTAAAGTAATACATATGCTAACAAATATCCCTACAATGTAGTAGTTTTAAATGATTTGCAATTTCTACAAAACATTTGCGAATCCAATAGGATTTGACCATTTTGTTTTTAGCACTAAAAATACCTGTCCTGGCCAGTGGTGAATCCAATCGATCCTATTGGCCGTGGCTGCTGCCGTCAAAGACTCACTCATTATATCTTTGAGCGATTGTATCATCATACTTTCGACTTGTACTAACCATTTCTCCACCATTCCCTTTAAAAAAAAAATAAAAAAATCATATTGGTACAAACAACGGCTCACCTTCGCCTCGGCCGGTATAATTTTGCCACTAAACGGCACAACCTCATGCTCCACACTCAGCATTCCAACGATCTCTTCCTCGTCGGTAAAATCCAACATATTGATTCCTTCGAAACATTTTTTTAAATGTGGTTGGACCCGATAAGGATCTTTGGTTTCCGAAAGTATTTCCAAAAGTTCGTCGTTTGATAGGAAGAAGAATCGTGGGAAGAAAAGACGTTTCTTTTCGAGATAATCGTTGAGACCTTTTTGAATGTCGTCCAAAAGTCGGTTGTTGTCCCTTAATGAAGTCAACATGTTTTTATAATCGGTAGCGGCTAAAACTTTTGGATGTTTGCTGGTGTTGTGCTGAATTGCACGCCAGACTTTATCGACTTGTTTGAAATTTCGAGCTTCGGTTGGCATTTGACGCATTATGTCTTCGCTGCTGAAAATTGGCTCCAAATACATCCAAGTGCCTTGGCACTAAAAACACAAAACTGTGCTAAAAACTTCCTTTTTCCGATATATTTTTGTTATAAATTTATTTTTATTCTTTAGACTATTTTATTCAAGACTGTAGATTTCAGTAAAATCAATTTTCAGTACTTATTTTATGAAAAAAAAAAGAACTTGGACCATATTTTCAGTCAGACCCAAAAAAAATCATTTAAATTAATTTTTCCCAACATATTTTTTCTACATGTTGTGAATTTTATTGTCTTTTGTCATAAAATGACAAAGTTACAAAGTTTTAAGTTTAGTCATCAAAATATCAAAATTTTGACTATTTATTTCGAAACTAAAAATAGTATGTATAAAATTCAATTTTTAATTTACGTCTGAAAATTTGATTTTTTATTGAATTAGACTTTCACACTTTTTACAAGATTATAAAATGGCTGTTTTTTGAGTTTTGTAACCCATCAAGAACCGGAAATTTGAAAATATATCTTTCAAAACACAAAATCACTAAACAATATTTTCATAATAGTTTTTTTAATTATTTAATCTTTTATTTTTCGAGTGTATTTTCTTCAAGTTTTTTTTATTATTTTCAAATTACTAATTGTAGTAAAATAATTTTTACAAATTTTTATACGTCACGTTATTCTGCGTAAAAAAATTGTTTTTCAGTCACTAGAAATAGTAATATGATTTTGACTATATTTTTGAAACTGAGGGCCGTACTCTTCAGACAGTGTCTATATTGTTGCGAAATTTTATAAGTCGGACCTAAAAAATTCTTTTAAATTTATTTTTCCCAACATATTTTCTCTACAGTGTGGTGAATTTTACTGTCTTTTATCATAAATTTAGAAAGAACATAATTTTAAGTTTAGTCATCAAATTATTAAAATTATGACTATATATTTCGAAACTAACAAAAAATAATACCTATAACATTCAATTTTTAAGACTATTTAACGTTTGAAAATTTAATTTTTTTATTGATTTAGACTTTCACACTTTTTTGAGTTTTGTACCCACCAAAAACCGGAAATATGAAAATACCTATCTTTTAACACACAAAATTTCTAAAAAATATTTTTCAGAATTGTTTTTTCGAATTATTTAATCTTTTATTTTTCCAGTGTATTTTCTTCAAGTTTTTTTTTATAATTTTCAAAATACTAATCATAAAGTAAAATAATTTTACAAATTTTTATAAGTCTCATTATTCTGCATAAAAAATAATTTGCAATCACTAGAAAAAATAATATGATTTTGATCATATTTTTGAATCTAAGGGCCGTAATCTGACAGTTTTTGTCGACATTTTCAAAATTATAAACAGCATCTAAAAAATTCTTACAAATTTTGATTCTTTAGCTCATTTTGAGAGAAAAAACTGAACTGACTGACTGAATCAGTCATAAAAAAAGAAATTTGGGGAAAAAAATGAGATTATTTTAAAAAGCAGGTATTAAACTTTTGTATTAATTTTTTATCCGTACTGAGATTTGACCATATTTTTGAAACTAAGAGTCGTAACAAAAATATTTTCACAAATTCTTACTCTTCAGAAAATTGTACAT